GCAAAAGAACCTGTAGGGGGGAGAGACTGGAGGCTAAGGGGTCAATTAGGAACCTATTTGAGGTGATAATTGTGTAGACAGGGGCAATGAGAGTAGAGAGAAAGGGATAAATTGGAGAGAGATTTGAAAGGAAGCATCTTCAGGAATCTGATGATTTAGTGATCTGAGGGATGAAGAAGAGAGAAGCGTAACCGAGTAAGAATTTTAGTGTTAGGACTAGTAGATCGTGTGATCATTGATAAAAATAGATATTCTCAGAAGAAAAGCAGGGTAAAGAGAGTGAAACAAAGTGTATCTGGAATTAAGATTGGGATTATCCTTCTGATAGTTGTGTGGAATAGGAAATTAGTGCCACTTTTCAATTGAGGCCTAGAGATTTTGACCTAATAAGAACTGCCAAACACAACACTATAAATCAATTATACTCCAATAAAACCTACAAAAAAATTTTTTAATTGACATTCAGACTCATGCATTCATTCACTCAGCAAATATTTATTTGAGCCACCAGAGTGTGCCAGACACAGTTCTAAGCCCTTGGGATGTATCAGAGAACAAAACAAAGATTCTTGCTTTTATGGAGCATACATTCTAGCAAGAGAGAAGCAATAAATAATGGACATCATAAATAAATATATAGTGTAATAATGTGTTAAGTGTATGATTAGGCAGGGTAAAGTGGCTGGAGGCTCTGGGGGCAGGTGAGGGCCTTTGCAACTTTTAAAGTGTTCCCAGACTACACCTAGAGCTCTTTTTCTATGATCTGTGGTTTGTTATTTGTCTTCTGACTGAAGGGACAGAAGAAAAAATTGTAGGGTGTTGGCTACTGTGTGATGTTTTAATAAAGATTCTTTGTATGCCACATCTGGAGGCAATTTTAAAAAAGGGAAATTTCTCATGGTTCCCATTTCCTGAATGAGTGAGTAGCACTGCGATGAAATTTAGGTGAGTTGAGGCTGATAATTTTCAGTAATTTAAATGTTGTTGCCTTTCCTAGAAGGAAGACCTTTGTTTATAAACAACTGGGTCAATAGAAGATGTAGCCTCATATTCACATTCTTCTGATAGGCTCCCAGTTAGGACACAGAGGATATACAGGGGTTTGAAGCATTATTATCTAGCTTTGGGGTTTTGTTCTTTGTGATGAGGGAGGAAAGGTAAAGAACTAATTTCTCTCTTTCTTAGAAGACAAATTAGATGGGATGACAAACTTTTTGTAAAGACTGAGAATTTAAGCAATTACCTAGTGATGCATAGGAACATTATCTGCATTCTTCCATTTTTGGATTATTAACAAAGCCCCCACTTGGGTCACATGCTAAACAGCCCTTAGTTTTCTGTGTTTCTTCAATAGGATATGATGTGCCAAAGAGCCGCTTTAATTTCTACTGTCTTCCATTGCCAAGATGCTTATTTAGGGTCTGCAGAGGAGAGGGGATATTTAAAAAGGAAGGAGCGAGAAAAGAGAGGGTGACATGGTTTATGGACAGTGTCTGAAGACACCATTGGTACAGATTAAGACAGAGGTATGCATTGTAATTCTAAAATGGCCTCAGCTCTATTGAAAATAGAGAAACTTGATTCTTTGATGTGGAAATGAACTAAAATGGGAAAGGAAAAGTTGTACTTGTAAACTCTGGGCCTTTTTTGTGTGTGTTGCTTTTCCTGAACCAGTGAAATGCCCCCAGTGCAGGGGGCAGCCTGATGCTTGAAGGGACACCCATTGAGCAGACCCAGGTTTCCCTGCCTTTGTGTTGACAGAAGTAGCTGCAGCCACAGCAGTTGGCAAGTTAAGATCCTGGCTGCCTTGGAAGAATCCTGGGAAGAGCCCAGCATCAGTTTGCATCTTTTCAGCTACAGGTTGAGTAGGACAGAAGGGCTGGGCACTGGAATAGTTTTTAATGTAAAACTTTCTGCACTCAGCCAAGTGGGCTCACATACAGCCATTCTTGGAAAGGAATCGCTTTTTAAAAAGTTTTTATTGAAATATAGTTGACTTACAGTGTTGTGTTAGTTTTAGGTGTATAGCAAATGACTCAGTTATATGTATATTTGTATATATATTTATGTATATACATAATACATACATAATAACATTCTCTTCCAAATTAGGTTATAAAACATTGAGTAGAGTTTCCTATGCTATACAGTAGGTCCTTGTTGGTTAACTATTTTATGTGTAGTAGTGTATAGATTTTAATCCCAAACTCCTAATTTATCCCTCCCCTGCTCCATTTGGTAACCATAAGTTTGTTTTCTATGTCTGTGAGTCTAGTTCTGTTTTTTAAATAAATTCATTTGTGTCTTTTTTTTTTTTTTTTTAGATTCCACATATAAGCTACATCATAAGAAAGGAACTAGTTTCAGTTAGAAAAGCCCTCACCAAAGAATGTCTTCAGTGGAAATGCATTTGTTTAATATTGCATTAGCGATTTCTACCCCTTGCACCCATCCAATTCAACATTTATTAAACTCCTCATGGGTGCTTAGGACTCTGCGAGGTGCTGCAGACTAACATGAAAGAGTAAACTTGAATTAATGACAAAGTAAAGTGAGATGATTTTTTAAGGAATCTTCATAGGAATTCCATTACAAGGAAGCAATGAGAAAGCATGGACCCCACACTAGTGATGGCCCCTGGCAATCGTTATCCTTACACACACACATACAAACACCCAAAGATGTGCTCAGGTAGAAATGCTCTTTGGGTAAGAATACCCAGGGCTTTTTACACAGTGCCACTTGTCCTAGCTGGGCTACCCCATGGTGTCATCTCATTGATGAAATGCTGATTAAGTTGCTTTGTGCTCCATCATGGACCAATGGGTCATTCTCTGCTTCTTGTCAACTTCAAACAGGCTGGGCAGTCTGAGTTTGTTTTAACTCTACTGACCCCAGATGCCTTTTGTCTTTATCAGACTTTATTCTTATCTTTTCAGAAATGGAATAGTTTCTCTTTTTCCTGTTTCCTCAATATTTGCCTAAAAGATGAAAACTTACAAAAGATGTTTCTGAAAGTGAAGCCGACTGAAAAAGTAGCCAATTTTGTTTCTAAATAACTATTTATAAAATTTTCCAAAGACAGTCTGTCACAGATGGGGGATTCCATCTCAGTCTACCTTGAAAAGCAATTGAATTAAACAAACATTTGGTGAGTATCTGCTTTGTATCTGACTTTGTTCTAGGTGAGTTAGAAAGAAGAAGGATTTGTCCCTGCCCTTGAGGAGTTTAAAGTCAAATTGAATTAAGAGGCAACATTAATTAAGCCAAGAATTTACTTCTGAGTTTTTGAATTTGCATTCTTGGCTTCAGTGTTTCTATGTATAATGGCCAAAAGGGTCCATTAAGTTTAATCTATGCAACATAGTAGATTTAGTTGTTCATGAAAAAGAGCTCTCTAACCCAAATAAAGGAAACTCAGTCTAGACATTGGGGATGCTTTAGCTAATTTGGCTTAACTAGTTCTTTTCCTAATGGTACTTCGTTCCAGACTCTATGAGCATTAAGCACTCACCCAGTCCGGCCACTTTCCCTGGAGAGGAAAAGCTGCATCAGGCATGAATCCAGCTCTCAAGAAGCTCACTGCCAAGCTCAGCAGGTGAGACAGAGCACGAGGGAAAAAGTCATCAGTGCAGAAGAACAAGAACCACGGGACCAGTAACTGGGGTTGAGAGGTTGGAAGAATCACTCCTCTGCAGAGTAACTTCATCTCCCCATGTCAAGGTGTAGTGTAAGGATTGTGGGAAATTCTTCGTGCTTTTTGGATGCAAGGTGTATTATATAAGGTCTGTAAAAAGTTTTGGGGTACATTTAGAAAAAAGTAATTGACAATAGTGATAATAATATCTAGTATGTGTTGAGTGCCTATTATATGCCTGGCATTAACCTAAAGATGGAAATATAGCTCTAATCTGTAACTCTATTTTATATCTGTTGACTCCCGAATTATCAAAACGTTAATTTCTAAATGTACCCTGTTCATAATCTTTTTATAATTGTTAACCTGGGTGACGGTTTCATGAGAATTCATTAATTCTCTCTACTTTTGTGTCTTTAAATTTTTCATAATCAGAGGCCATGCTAAAAAAGGAAGGGGCCAAATAAACTTCATTTCCTAAATAATACCTCTGACAATTGATGAAGGCTAAGAAAGAAGTCAACAGTTCTTCAATATTTACTATTAGCCAATCCTTCACATGCTATCTGTGAACTAACTGTGATCGCATTTTACAATGAGGCAATTGAGGCTCAGAGAGGTTAAAGGACTTTTTAAGGAGTTGAATGCTGGTCAAAGCTTATGCATGCTCTTTCCAGCATACCATCTTGCTCCAGCAAACCATACCATATGGTTTCTAAGGACAGGATCCCTGTGTTTAATCTTGGCAGCCCCAAGTGCCAGTGGGTGAAATCATAGTGCTACACTTCAAAAATCTCTCTCAGACCTAGTTCAAAACCAGATAAAGTGTTCTAAAAACAATATGACATGTATGCTTTAGGAAACATTTCAAAGAAAGAGAAAACTGGCAAAGCAATGGTTAATGATAATTTGTCTCTGAGAGGAATGCCCTTAAACGTCCCTTTGCTGTGTGGGTGTGAACATGGAAGCATAACATTTGGGACTTTGTGGTAACCAACATTTATTTCCAGACATTTCACAACCTCTCTTTAAGGTTAGATATAAGGCCCATTTTACAGATGAGAAAAAGGAGGTTGAGGTCCAAGCTGGCAACACCAAGTGTTGCTGAGCATTACCACGCCGTGGAGTGTGGTGCAGCTGGAGTTCAAATCTGGTCTGTCCTGTCCTCGGTGAACATCCTCTCACCACAATAGTTAAGTGCTATGGTAGAATTGGATGCTTTCTTCTGTGCAAACCATCTATTAAAGGCTATAGAGGGTCAACCAAATTCCTCCATGTGACCTGGGAAGGGGAAGGGTTTGGGTGTAACAAAATGGCAGCATTTCTTTGTCATGAGGCAAAACTTTCCCCACTCTGTTTGGATTTATTTGGTCTTCATGGACCAAACTGAACAGAAGTGAATTATCCCATCTGTTGTCAAAACCATCCTCCCCGACTTCAAAGAGTCCCGGCCCCCGGAGGGAGAGCCCCCCAGGGTGCAGAGAGAGATGGAAGCCCCTAGGCCTCCTGTCGCCGCTTTAGTCTCTGGGGGCTGGAGCCACTGCCTGTCATCCCAGCTGACTTCGCTTTGAATCTGCGGCTCCTCACCACCCCCAGCCTTCCCCTCAGCCCAAACAGACAAGGCCCGATTTCTGTTTGAAGTGGATGTGCTACTCTTCACACGGTGGGCGCTCCACGGAGGTGCAGCGGGATTAGAGGAAACGGCTCCCCGTGGGGTGAGGCCACCTAAGCCTCCGGTGGCGGCGGCAGCGACAGTCAGCGCTTTCAGCCGCTCAGGGGGCGATAATGGCATTCTGGGCTTTTCCACAGGGGTCCCCAGGCCACCGAGGGATCTTAATTAAAGTGGCTTTGTGGGCCTTGGAGGCAAACACAGGCCCAGAACTCAGAGGGGGTTCTTGTCATGAGTTCTGGTTCAGTTTCTCCCTAGTCTCAGAGGGACCTAGTTCATAGGAGCAAAGAAAATGAAACAACTGGGCCTACTGTCTAAATGCTACAGCGAAAGCCTTGTTCACCTGAATAACCCTGAGCGGTCCCCGCAGAGCATCACCTGGTATTTCCTTTTGCTGGTGTAGAAATGGTTGAAACCAAACTGGAAATTGCTCGAAGTAGGGCTTTCCTGGTGGCTCACTGGTAAAGAACCTGCCTGCCAATGCAGGAGATGCAGGTTTGATTCCCTGGGTTAGGAAGATCCTCTGGAGGAAGGCATGGCAACCCACTTCAAGATTTTTGCCCGGAGAACCCCATGGACAGAGGAGCCTGGTGGGCTATAGTCCATGGGGTCGCAAAGAGTTGAACCCGACTGAAGCAACTTGGCACGCACGCACCATGCGTTGGAGTGATGCTTTCTCCTCCCTCAGATTATTCTGAGGAAAAGGTAATAAATGGATCTTTAAGGAAATTAGTTATCTTAAAGTTTAATTACTTGTATTAATTACCTTTTAATGATGATAGATGAAAATTTTGAGTTATTTTGCTATAGGACAAGTATCTCCCCATAGACATTTCAAATGTAGCTCTAAGCAAATATTTTTTAAAAAGATAATACAAAGTTAAATATAAAATTCTCTTCTCTGTAAAAATATTTTTTATAAAGATCAACTGTGTGTGTGTGTGTATTTGATTTCATTTGAGTATTACCCTCTGGATAGAATCATAGAATAGATCTATTTTGAAAATATTATTTAAAAAACAAAAATGAAGTCTGGGTGCCATTTTTTAATAGAATATCAATAATTATATTTTCTCATTAAGATGACACATTAGATAGGATTAAAAGAAGTATTAGCATCCAAGGATAATTTATATTGATAACTTTCCCTCTGTTCTTAAAGTATGAAATTATTTTTCACATCCCTTTAATTGGCAGTTGTTTCACAATTTGGAGATATATATACATATATGTGTGTATATATGTACATATATATATATCACAAATGTGTGCAGTTGTTTAATTAGTGCCAGTTTTCCTCCTCGACCTTAAGCTCCAAGAAGGTAGGGACTATAACTGATTTGTTTACCATTGTATGCCCAGTCCCAGACATGTCTTAGCTGCTCAAATATCTATTGAATACATAAGTAATCACTCAAAGAGATGTAATGTAATAATGATTGTGTATATTTATAAGAGTGCCTGCTTTGAATTTTTTCTCTTAATCAAGAGACTCAGGTAATAAGTTTGGACTTTGTGATTTTAAGAAAGCACTAATGTTTATCTACAAAAAAAAAAAAGACTGAAAATAGTCTATGGATTGTCAGATCAGGTGTGCAATGGTTTACCAGTTCATACAATTGAGACTTCCAAAAAATTGGTGACTGGTCCCAACAAATCAGAGTAAGGGTAAAATTTACTCAATATAATTGTTTAAAGAGGCTACTTGTAACTGAAACACGTTTAAATTTTGCCCTGGGGATGAAGTAGTCTTTTTTCATGGTCTTAGTACCAGAGCAGGTAGTTCTAGGGAATTTGCACAGTTGCTGCGCTGCACATTTCATCTATAAAGACGACTAGCTGACATGGCAGAGCTAAGGGACTGAAGTTCCAAGTTGGTGTCGACATCTGTGATTGTGGGGAATGCCAGGCACTGCCAGACAGATGTGTTGGGAATTCACCCCCAAACTTCATGGAATCACCTTGTGCTCACTCCTTCAAGAGAAATCTCGTGAAGGGGAACTTTAACAATGCTGAAAAAGCTAAACGATAACCTTTTCTTCCAGGAATAAAGATGCCTCTGGTTGTGCACGAGTCAGTGAGAGTAGACGCTGTCTCATAGCCTTGCAGACAAGACCTGCATTGTCCAAGGTTGCTGTTTCTGCTGCCATTCCCTGGCTCCCCTCTGCCCTCAAAGGATTTGTAAAGTGGTCAGGGCCACGATGTTGCCCAGTTTTGCTACCAACTTTCTTTTCTCTTGATCTTTTTTTCAATGTCTGCTTTCTTTCCTCTATGTGCTCACTGAAGCCTAATTGTGGGGGTCAAGCTATAATTAGTTTATATATGAAGTTTAATTCACTGTGGCTCTTCTGGCATTAGACTCAAATGGGCTTTGATGTCTGGCTGGAGCTTTGATCCCTGTCCCTAGGATGGTGGTCATCACCCCAACTCAAAAGACTGCCCTTTATTTTTTTCCCTCCTATTCGGAGACAGCTTTTCCCAATTACATCATTTGTGTTTGTTTGGCCATAAAAGCTGGAAGGCATCATTTTGTTGCATTGCTCTATAGCAAAACGTGCAACTGATGCTCCTTACTTTGCTGGGCTGCAAAAAAATGTTCACTGCTGGATAAGGCATTTGTACAATGATGCTCAGACTTTGTGGGGCTGCTGTTGGGAGTTGTTCTGCCCAAGGGCAAGGCGTCAGACTGTGTCATCTGAGGGACCTTTCCTGGCTCTGCCCAGGAAATGTCTTTAAGCGTAAGCCACACGACTGTGATATATTCAGTCAAGATTCCTTTTCATGCTGGCAACTTTATCTTACTCTCTAGATCCTCTGGGTGGCAGATCCACCCTGTCTTTAATGTCACACATTCTGAGTGTCGATTAGCAGCCGTTCTGAGAAGACAGAGGCCTCCAGGGAAAGCAAAAAACTAAAGAGAGCTGAGCCATACTAGAAAGGAGATCATAAAGTAGCACTGGTGGAGGAAGAAGCACCAGCACTTGCTTTAAAAAGAAAAGGAAAGAAAAATCAGAACAGTAGGGCCAAGTGAGATCCTGTCACTGACAGGAGGGAGCAGCGAACAGTGGGTGATCACCTTCAACTGCTTCCCAAATACCTACAACCGAAACAAAGACTCAAAGAGGAAAGAAAGCCTTAGAAAGAAAGAGTAAATCGGAGAGGAGAAAAACAGGCTGTTGGGTTAAGAAGAGAATAGGGGCAACCCAACCAGGCACACTTAATCTGACAACATTAGTTTTCCTGGAAAAACAATTACAGTGTTGAGCTCCTTGCTTCTAACTTAATTTGACAGCCTGAGTTTGTTTTAACTGGCGCATGAATGAACAGCATTATTTATTAATGTGTAATGGATACTTTGGAAAGCATAACCTCTTTTCCTATTTGTGACCATTTCATTGGTGGAGCCATTTGAATACATTAGTTTTAATATTTAAACTTGCTGGGAACACTTTTTCATGGAGACGTACAGGCTGTTATGGCAAATGGTTTGCTTTGGGCTAATGAGCCAGCTTGAAGTGGCATTTGGTGAAGAGGGGGCTGGGGAGGTATAGAGGTTTGGAGACACAGTGACTTGTCTGTCTACTTTAACAAGATTTATTAGTAGTGTGTAAAAACATGTTTCAGCTTTTTTCCCCCTCTCAACTATATAAATATAGTTGTCAGTGTATGACAAAACACAGGCCCCAATAATAGACTCCACCCAGCCAGAAGGAATCTAATTCAGAACTAGAAAGCAAGAAACTTGCCTATAAATGAATAGCATGAGACAGTGACAGAGGACATAGGGGCGTGGCATTTGGCAAAGAGGACCAGTCATTATTCTTTAGTGCTTTACTAAAATTAGGAAGGAAAATTTAGTTCCTTTATTATCAAGTACTGTGTTTGGCACACAGTAGGCATAAAGCTTAGATGAGCTGAAGAGAATTAATTTTGCATGCTGATGAGCATCCACGCATAATTCCATTTTTACATTTTCAGATTTAATATACAATCTGGTTAATTATGAATCATGGTTGTAGTTATAGTTCCATTTGTGTCTGTGAGGGCAGCCATGGGGAGGTCAATGGAGAGTGGCTAGAGAACTCTTGTTTTTGCTTTTTGGTAAATGTGAAACTATTTTTTGCAGAGATTAAGTTAGTTAGAAAGTGTGTTAATGAAAAAACAATTTACAACCAACCTGCAGTTTCTTGAATGCTTGCAAAGGCATTGTCCTGAGTATAGTAATACTTATTGTTAGGTCACTCAGTCGTGTCTGACTCTTTGCGACCCCACGGACTGCAGAAGGCCAGGCTTCCCTGTCCTTCACCATCTCCCGGAGTTTGCTCAAACTTATGTCCATTGAGTCGGTGATGCCATCCAACCATCTTGTCCTCTGTCTTCCCCTTTTCCTCCTTGCCTTCTATCTTTCCCAGCATCAGGGTCTTTTCTAATGAGTCTTTTCCAATAGTAACACTAAGAGAAAAATAATCACTGCCTTCAGGGAATCCTAATAATGTAATTGGAGAGAATAGATGCACATAAACACCTATGTAGATAGTATGTGTGTGCATACCCGGATAAATAACCATGCAAATAGCATTTGGTAAGAATCAAATATTCATGCAGTTGACTGGAATTCAGAGGAGAGAAGTGAACTGATCTTGGAGGGAAGAAGGCTGGCCCACACAGAGGGGAGAAAGGTAGAATTCTTACAGGGGTAAGAAGCTTAAGAAAGGTCTAAGAGTCTTAAATAATGATAGAGAATGCACTCCTTCACACAACATTGTGCCTGAACTTCAGCAAACTGCAACTGGCTGAATTCGATTTCTGAGGCTCTTGGATGTACTGCTTTTAAAATAGATATGGCACTTTCCCATGGACAAGCTGGTGAGAGGCATTTCCAGACCCCATCTCACTGAAATGCCCTGAGACCAGTGTCCCAAGCATAGATGACAATATTACAAATGCTGCCGCAGGGGGCAAGTTTGTTAAGTCCTTCTGGAGGAAGAAAAGAAAAATATAACTTAACTCACATAACCTTTACTCTCTATGCGCCTGCGCCATTGTGAACACACCTTATATATAGTATATACTGTATATTATTATAATTCTTACAACAGGCACCTTGTTAGTAGTTCCATTTTACACTTGGGGAAACGGAGGCACAGAGAGGTGAAGTTACTTGCCTGCGCAGCTAGTCTTGGCAGGAAAGGGGATTCAAATTCAGGCAATCCGGTTTCAGAGCTCCTGTGCTTGCAGACTAAATAACAACAATAAAAAACTCTTAACAAAAACCAAAGCGCGCACGCGCACGCGCACCCCCTAAGCCCGGAGCTTGTAAAAGAATTGATGCAACCGCTGGCTGTACAGCGACATCCTCCTGCCTAATTTTAAATGCCTTCCATGAAAAGATTAAAACAACAGCAACAAAACCAAGAGTTCAACAGTTTTCGGACAACGCTGCACTGTGCCTTGGAGTGCTTGCCTTTACAACTTGGAGTCACAAAAGCCAACTCCAAGAAAAAGTCTCTGAATCCACTCGCAGGACCTTGCTTGGTAAGGTGGAAGAAACCTAAAGCAGCCTGAGTGGATACGAACAGTGGACGTGTGGGGAAAGGGTTAACGTGGTGGGCTGCAACTCGGTCGAGTTTCAGAAAGTTCTCTGGGGAGCCCAACTGCTGCGTCCCTTGGCGGACCCTGCCTGCGAAGCCGGCTGTAACAGGATGCTGGGGCTAGGGGTGCTCGCCCCTGGCTTTGTGCGATTGTAAAGAACCAATAAGAAGCGAGGCAAAAACTGGGTGCCGTAAACCCGAAAAGGGGGCGAGGAGGCCCGCGGGAAGAGCGGGGGAGGAGAGAGGGAGGAGCGGGGAGGGCCAGGCGAGCAGGAGGCCGGCGCCGAGCGCGAGCGGCGCCCCTGACACTAGAGGGGGAAGCCGAGGGGGAGCGGGCCTCGCAGCCGAGGGGCCGGCTCGGGGAGGCGGGCGCCGGGCGGGGGTTCGCCTGGCCGCCGCGCGTGACGTAGCGCCGGGCAGGGCGTTATCAGCTGCGGGGCCGCGGCGAGGGACGCGCGGCGACAGCGGACGGCGCCGCCCGGGGCCCGGACGGCTGCAGCCCGGGGCCACGCGCGGGTCCTGAGCGCTCCGGGTGCCCGCCCCCGCCTCCGCGCCCTGCCGCCCGGAGGCATGAGCCCGAGGCCGCAGCCCTAGCGCCCGCTCCTCCGCCGGGCGGCCCGGCTGCGGGGACGGGTGCGCGCGGCCGGGTTGGGGGCCATGAAGCCGAGTCCGACCGGGACGGCTAAGGAGCAGGAGCCGCCGGCGCTGGCCCGGGGAGAGCAGCGCACGGCGGAGCCTGAGGGGCGCTGGCGGGAGAAGGGCGAGGCGGACACGGAGCGGCAGCGCACCCGCGAGCGGCAGGAAGCCACGCTGGCCGGGCTGGCGGAGCTGGAGTACCTGCGCCAGCGCCAGGAGCTGCTGGTCCGGGGCGCCCTGCGCGGCACCGGCGGCGCGGGGGCCGCTGCAGCCCGCGCCGGGGAGCTGCCGGGGGAGGCGACGCAGCGCAACCGCCTGGAGGAGAAGTTCTTGGAGGAGAACATCTTGCTGCTGCGGAAGCAATTGGTAGGTCGTACCCGGAGGTGGGGGCACGGTTGTCCCTGCAGACGGCCGGGGATCGGGCAGGTGGTCCGTGGTGGGTGCCTCTAGCTAGGAGCAACCCTCTGGCTTCCCGGGACCCCCGCCCGGCCCTTCCCTGACCTCGGTTCCTGCGGGTCCCCGGGGGCGCGTGGGTTGCCGACGCCCACGCGATCCCGGCGTGTGCCCGCTTTGTGTTAGGTGAGGGGCCGGAGATCCGGCGCGGACTGCCCGGGCGAGGGTGGCCGCTCTCTCCTCCGGCCCTGCCTTCGGGATTCTTGGAGTCGTCTGGTCGGAACCTCCAATCGCTCTAGTTAAACGAATGCCTGCCGTCTCCCCGAAGGTTAAACCCTCATTTAAAATAGCATTTGTTTGGAGGGCTTCTTGCCTTCAGGTCCTCCCGCCGCGAGGGGACAAAAGCCGAGGAGGGGACTTTGGGGGCGCGATTGACTGTCCAGTGCCGAATTTTACTATTACACGGAAGCGGCCGCGGGGAGTCCTGCCTGCCTCTCCCTGGGCTCCCCCACTCCAGCCTGCCAGCTTTTGCCTACTCTGCTGCTTAATTTCAGATAAAAGCCCTTTGTATAAGCCGGCTAAAACAGATGCACATGATGGAAATTTGGCTGGAGAAAGTGCCCCCTCCTCTCATACGTTCTGCTCGTTGTGACTTGAGGTGGAGGTGGGCGGAAGGGAAAACCTCCTCTCAGGGAGCATTTATCATATTGGATTTGTGTCAGCATCTCAGACATTCTCTGCCGTCTTCATTAACGGGGAAGAAAAAGAACTTTGACGCTTAATGTATTGATGAACAGCTTTGACCCAGCCTCAGAGAAATGGCGGCAGCTTTGTTTCCATGACCTCAAAAATGTAGTTTTGAAAACAGAAAAAAAAAAAAAGAAAGAAAGAAAGAAAATCCTTATCTGACCATGTGATGCTATCTTAAACTAGACACCCACTAGATAATGTCTCTCCTGCTAACAGAGTGATGCCGTGTGGTTGTCCAGTGTTTTCTTGTATTATCTTTTTTGAGATAATTTGTCTCTCTTTTTTTGAGCATCAAAGTGATTTTACTTGTTTGGTTCATTTTTTCCTGAAGAAACTCGTTCTAACAAGCAAGCATGTTATGTGTCCAAGCTTTTCAAGTTCAAGGACAGACAGGAGGAACAGATACTCATATGCGTCTGTTTTGTAAGGCCGTGTGGAAGTAGTGGTTTGTGCAATATTTCAGGGTTGGCATTTTGCTGTGGTTTTGGTAGCAGACTGATTCGAGTCAATTGTTGCTGGTTATGCCTGGTCATTGACATTGTGTGCATTGTCTTATACGATAGCACCTTCTTGTCTTCATGAATCTCACAGTTGTGAGTGGCGCATTCCTGTTGTTCCCTGGAGAGGAGCAGGACAGCATGTCAGGAGAATTCCCGTCCAGTCAGTGTTTGTGGTACTATTTTCATGTGTAGACTTGGCGTTTGTGATTTGAACCAGATGCCTTTGAGTTTTTTGTTTTTTTTGCTTTCCCAGCAATAGGAAGCACTAGGTGGCGGTGTGACAGCACTACAGCCTGTCACCTTTGGAAACCCGAGTTGAGTTCAAATCTTGATGGCCCTTCCCTTGAGGGTTTTGGATTCTGCCAGCTCACATTATACTTGGCACAGGCTGTTAGTATTAGTTTCTCTCTTTCAAAGGCCCTAAGACTGATTAAACCCCACAAAGTGACTAATAGAAATCAAAGCTCTGCAGGACATTTGGCCAGAAAATCTCACCTGAGAAAGATTATAGTGTATTGTAGGAAATCTGTTGCACTCTGACTTCAAATTAAAGAGTCTACTGTGAAGTACTGTTTTCTAATAAATTGCCTGTACACAGAGGTTTTTTAAAAAAAAGTCTCAGTGGGTTTTTCATATCCCTACCTATAAAAAGTAGGTTTGTATATATATTAGCTGAAACTGAAAGCAAGTCTTGTTTTTATGAAGAAACTTTATATCACCACAAAATGTGAGAAAGTGGAATTAAACAGGACATATTCTTGGAAGTTTTTCTTTGCTTCAGGTCATCCAGTAAAATTTTGGTTTTGGAAAATTTAGGGAACTCTTCAGATGGTAATTTGAATACTTAGAGCCAACTTTGTAGTTCTTTGTCACCAAAATGTTGTGGTTTTTTTTTTTTTTTCCCCTTCTCTGTTTCTTCCTCATTAGAATTGTTTGAGGAGAAGAGATGCCGGTTTGTTGAACCAGTTGCAGGAACTCGACAAGCAGATAAGTGACTTGAGACTGGATGTGGAAAAGACATCTGAAGAGCACCTGGAGACAGACAGCCGCCCCAGCTCAGGTGAGTGTGGGGGCACAAGGAGAAACGCTGCCGTCAGGAGTTCTGTCTCTGAGGCCCCCTGTGCTTGCCGTCCCCAGACCTGCAAAGGACAAAGGAGTTTGTTTCCAGTACAGAGACACTACAGCAAAACAAAACAAGAAAAGTCTATTATTCAGTTGCATGACAGGGAAACAAAATCAGACAATAAATTTATTGAAATATAGTTGATTTACAGTGATGTGTTAATTTCTGCTGTTTAGCAGAGTGATTCAGTTATTTGTATATATATCCTTTTTTCATGTTCTTTTCTATTATGGATTATCACAGGATATAGTTTCCTGTGCTGTACAGTAGGATCTTGTTGTTTATGTTTTCTTTTCTTTAATTGATTTTTAATTGGGAGAAAATTGCCATCCATTTTCTATGTAATGATTTGTATCAGCCAATGCCAGACTCCCAGTCTATCCCTGCCCACTACTCCCCAGCAACCACAAGTCTGTTCTCTTATGTCTGTGAGTCTATTTCTGTTTCATAGATGAGTTCATTAGACAACAAAATTTTTAACAATGAGACTCAGCTGACTGAAGTCCCCTGAGTTTAAAAATAAAAGCTTCTATGCAAATTTCTGGAAGCACGATCCTCCTTTGAAACTTGAGAAAGTCGGAACAGGGCTAGAAAATTAGTCACACTTCAACTTCCTGAGACCACTTCAAAAGTTTTCTTTTTTCCCTCTAAACCATTTGGCTCCTTGCATAGATTTGTTTTTCTCTTCAAGTTATTTTTTCTGAAATGTTTGTGAAAAAGTTGACACTCTGACAGATCTGAGTCTTTAAAGGTGGGGTCAAGGAGAAAGGTCAGTTTGAGAGTGAGAGTACTCTCAGCTTTGAAATGTACTCATAGTTATGGGCTCTTTGCCTTTTTCTGAGGATTGCTGGAAATGAAACACTAAAGTCAAGACACTATATCTCATGAACCAAAATTGCCACCCCTCCCTCCATATTCTCTCTTTTCTCTCTTTTGTACATGATTACCCCTTTTCCTTTTAAGCACAAATGTGTGTTTTTGCTTGACATGATCTTAACCTTAAGTGATGTTTTGATTTGTAGGGTTTTATGAACTGAGTGATGGGGCTTCGGGATCCCTGTCCAATTCCTCGAACTCGGTCTTTAGTGAGTGTTTATCCAGTTGTCATTCCAGCACGTGCTTCTGCAGCCCCTTGGAGGCAACCTTGACTATTTCAGATGGTTGCCCCAAATCTGCAGGTAAGACTTTTTAGAATTGACATTTTAAAAATTTATTTTTAATTGGAGGATAATTGCTCTACAGCATTGTCTTGGCTTCTGTCACACAACAATTTGAATCAGGCTTAAACATACATATGTCTCCTCTCTCTTGAACCTACCCCCACTGCACACCATCCTACCCCTCTAAGTTGTCACAGAGCACTGCATTGAGCTCCCTGTGTTATATAGAAATTTCCCATAAGCTATCTGTTTTACGTATGGTAATATATGTTTCGATGCTACTCTCTCAATTGGTTCCACCCTCTTCTCGCTGTATCCAAAGTCTGTTCTCTATATCTGCTTCTCTATTCCTGTCCTGCAAATAGGTTCATCGGTACCATGTTTCTAGATTCCATATATATGCATTAATATATGATATTTGTTTTTCTCTTTCTGACTTACTTCACTGCATAATAGGCTCTATACCTTCCTAGAACTGACTCAAATGACTTCCTTTTTATGGCTGAGTAATTTTCGATTGTGTATATGTACCACCACTTCTTTATCTACAGAATTGATAGACATTTTTAATTGGAAGGGGTCAAAGGTCCTTAAAAGTTGTCTAGCTTCAGCCCCTTCTACTGATGAAAAACGAAGACAGAGAACTTCATCTGCTTTTTGCCTTTAGTGCCGTAGCTGCATCTAGAATCAAGATCACCACTATTCCCAGTTCTTTTTGGGTGTTACCTGGCTTTATATCCTGATGGTAGCAAGATAGCTTATCTTTAGAAAGCCTGTCCCAATATTATAGATCTTGAGCTCTGTTTCTGAATCTTTGCTGTTAACTTGTTTGCATTTTCTTTTCAAAATTACTTTAGATCTGTTTTCTTCTTCCTTTAATCATTTAAAGTTAAGGCTTCCCTGGTAACTCAGTTGGTAAAGAATCCTTCTGCATTGCAGGAGACCACCTGCAATGCAGGAGACCCAGGTTTGATTCCTGGGTCAGGAAGATCCCCTGGAGAAGGATATGGCAACTCACTCCAGTATTCTTGCCTGGGAGATCCCATGGACAGAGGAGCCTGGCGGGCTGCAGTCCGTGGGGTCATAGGAGTTGGACATGACTAGTGGTTTAGTGACTACACCACCACCACCAAAGCTTCCATCAAGTTAAATATATCTGTCAGCCTGCTTAAGAGCTGCTTAGCTCTTCTGGTGGCAGTGGCCCCTCCGTGTTCTCCAGAATGCCTTGCATGATGGCAGCTCTCTCTTCTTTTAGTAGGTGGATGGGGTTAGATCCCCTCCACCATTTCCTCCATTTGGGGCTATTATTGCAGTGATCTCTAGAGAGAATCATGCCATTGTTGGTTCTGGAAGAGTTTCTCCATTTCCACTATGTGTCTCACACACTGCTGTATGCTCTGCATACATTTCTCTGCTTTGAATCCTCCATACAGTTCTGCAAGGTGCAAGTGTTGTCAGAAACCATTTTATATATCAGAAAATGGAGACCGGTGAGGTTAAGTTTGGTAAGTTGCTTAAGACTATATATAGCGAGTAAGTGGCAGAGGCAGGGTTCAAGCTTAGGACTAACTGCCAGATCCTTGTTTTTCCAACACACTAAGGGAATTCAGAAAGTGTTGTGTTCAACCTTCTCATCAAACAGGAGGAATTACATGCCTTTTGTCAGAGGCTCCTCTTTGCTGAATGGCAGAGTTGTTGCTGAAATTTGGGACATCTTCCTTAATTCTGATTTAATGTGATTTCTCAGAAGAGCAGAGACAATACAGAGATTAGAGGAGGTGATAGGTTCTGGCACAAGTCACTATACCCTTGGTTTTATGTATTGTCCACTTAGGTATAGGCTGAATTTCTGAGGTCTCAGCAGTGCAAACATAACACCAAACAACTGAGGCTGCTAATCACCTGGTGTCTGTGTAGTGTGTGTTGTTAGCAGCAATCATTTGGGGAAGCACAGATCTATGTTATCTAGAGTGTCTGGGTCTCAAGTTCATTGGTAATTGATGCCTTTCATTCTGCAGATTTGGTTTCAGAGGGAAGTTTTATAAACCCATTAAAGGTACTTTGGTATAGGTTTTCCTTAAGGACAGACTCCTCTATCCCAAATGTCACATATTCTCATCATTGAGACAGTTGGGTTGGCCTTTGGAGGCTGGGATGTCTGTCTTGTTCCTTAACTCTAGAAAAGAGGGAATAGGGATGAGGGGTGTTATGTAGCTAAATGTGGCTTTAAGTAAGATAAGGATAGGCCTTGGGGTAGTGAGGAAGAATGGGCACAGATATTAGCTAGAGAGATTTCCCCTTCTTACAACAAGCTGTTTATTGGGAATGGAAGTGGAATTGGGGACATGACACATTTATTTTATAATAAACTTTTGTTTACAAACGAATATCATTTCTGGGTCTAGACTGGCCCTGCCACCCAGACTGCTAATAATCATTGAAATTCACAGGGCTTTCCTTTAAACAATTAACATAGAATCTAGCACATAGTAGCTTTTCAATATTTGAGTGAATAAATATAATTATAATGGAAAGCAAATTAAATAGGGAAAACTTTGATCTTCTGTAACTAAAAGTCATTCAAAGAAAGGAAAGTGAAGTCACTCAGTTGTGTCCTACTCTTTGTGACCCCATGGACCAGTAACTTACCAGGCTCCTTTGTCCATGGGATTTTCCAGGCAAGAGTACTGGAGTGGGTTGCCATTTCCTTCTCCAGGGGATCTTCCCGACCCTGTGATCAAACCTGGGTCTCCCGCATTGCAGGCAGACGCTTTGCCGTCTTAGCTACCAGGGAAGCCAAAGTCACTCAGAGGATTTGATATTATAATATATACCAGGGTAAGAGATCATAATAATCTAATTAAGCAAGAAAGCTTGATTTCATTATATTTCGGCATCTATGTTTTTGAGATGTGGAAATTTTATTCATTAGTACTACTCCTCAATTTTTTAAAGCCTCATCAAAAATTCCTTTATAAAATATTGTGCTTTTTTAGTATCACTATTAAAAACATAAGGTGACTATTATTTAAATTTAGTCTTGATTGAAATTAGATTAGTTTCCCTGACCTTTCAATTGACAGTTATATTCAAACACATGTCATTAAGAATTAGGTCTTAAAAAAAATTCAAAATGAGGAGAAAGGCCATGAAAGTATAGTTCATCTGAAATATTTAAAGGGAAACCCGGAATAGAACATAGAAGGGAAAGTGGCCCAGAGAAAGAATGGCTCAAAAAACATTTATTTTTCCAGTTATAAATGCAGCACATATACTTTTATTGACAAGTTAGAAAATAGAAAAAGAAGAAAGCACCATTACTTGCTTTCCCACCACTTTGAGATACTACTATTAGCATCTTCGCATGCTTCATTTCAGACTTTTTTCTGTGACTATATCATCTTAATAAAATTATAAAATTATGATTTTCACTTCACTTTCAAATGTTTTCCATATATTATTCAATAGTTTGAAAGTATTTTTAATGGCTGATTATTTTTCCTTCAGAGTTATATCCTGTTAAAAATTCCTTTGTTGATTATTTTTTTCCTCATCCAGTAGTATGAACTGTATGTGAAATAGTAGAGTAGCTTGTCTAGTATTTGTTGATTCTTTGTTATTATCTCACTACCCCTGAATTTGTCTTCATAGAAACTGGCCTGATCAAGCTGGTGCTGACCAGTTCATTTCTTCAGAGTGTACCTTTAAATGTTTTTCAGATCTCATAGGATGGCTGGAATATAAAGAAGGCCATTGTGAAGACCAGGCCTCAAGGGCAGTTGGCTGTTTCCCCTCCACACCACAATCTAATTTCCTTGCTGTCATTGCAGATGTGAATCCCAAGTACCAGTGTGATCTGGTGTCTAAAAATGGGAATGATGTGTATCGCTACCCGAGTCCACTTCATGCCGTGGCCGTGCAGAGCCCAATGTTCCTCCTCTGCCTGACCGGCAACCCGCTGAGGGAAGAGGAGCGGCTTGGTAACCATGCCAACGACGTCTGTGCGGGATCTGAGCTGGACACCGTCAAGACAGACACTAACTTACCATCTCCAAGCAGTTTGTGGTCTGCTCCCCATGCTTCATCCAGCAAGAAGATGGATGGTTACATTCTGAGCCTGGTCCAGAAAAAAACCCACCCAGTCAGGACCAACAAACCGAGGACCAGTGTAAACGCTGACCCCACGAAGGGGCTTCTGAGGAATGGGAGCGTTTGTGTCAGAGTGACTGGGGGCGTCTCACAGGGCAACAGTGGGAACCTTAAGAATTCGAAACAGGTGCCTTTGCCCTCCGGAGGCATCCCTTCTTTGGACAATGGGGCCTTCTCCCCACCAAAACAGTGGTCAAAAGAATCAAAGCCAGAACCTCTGGAAAGCAAGAGGTTGCCCGCGCCTGAAGGCTGTTCTCCAGGCACTGCTACCGAACTTCAAGGTAAGCATCGGCCCCAAACCGCCAAGCCCGTCTCCCAGGAACATGCGAGGTGTCCCCCCGCTGGGACAGGGGAGTCCTCTAAGGAAAGCGGGCAGATCCCAGCTGCCTCTCCGAAAGAGAGCCCTGGGAGGGTCCTGGCACCGCTGCAAGAGAACAAAGTGGTCCAGCCACTGAAAAAGGTGCCACAGAAAAACAGCCCGCAGGCAGGCACTCTGGCGCCCCCTCCCGCCGCCTCAGCCCTGCTGCCCCCCACTTTCCCGGCGGAAGAGCGGCCGGCCCTGGATTTCAGAAGCGAGGGCTCCTCTTCTCAGAGCCTGGAGGAAGGGCCCCTGGGGAAGGCGCCGCCCGTCCTGGCGCCGCCTCCGGGGGTCAGGCCGCCCCGGGGTGCGCGCCCCGCGGCCGCCCTGAGGGGCTCCGCGGTGAAGCACCGGGCGCCGGCCGTCCACGGGCCGGAAAGTGCTCTGCCCGCTGTGAGGGAGAAGGCCCGGGCGGCCGGCAAGAAGTGTCGGTTCCCCGACGACACGGATACAAATAAGAAACTGCGGCGAGCCCCAGCGAAGGCGCGGCGGGGCGGGGGCGGCCAGGCCGACGCGGGGCTCCCCAGCCGGCCGCTGGGGACGGGCCACCGCGCGGGGAGCCGGGCGCACGGCCACGGCCACGGCCGGGAGGCGGTGGTGGCCAAGCCCAAGCACAAGCGCACCGACTCGCGGCGGTGGAGGTCGGCCGCCGAGGTGTCGTATGAGGAGGCCCTGCGGCGCGCGCGGCGAGGCCGGCGGGAGGCCGCGGGGCTGTTTGCGGCCGGGCCTTACGCCAGCCCCTACGCGTACGCGGCCAGCGACTCCGAGTACTCGGCCGAGTGCGAGTCCCTGTTCCACTCCACCGTGCTGGACACCAGCGAGGACGAGCGCAGCAACTACACCACCAACTGCTTCGGCGACAGCGAGTCCAGCGTGAGCGAGGGCGACTTCGTGGGCGACAGCACGAGCACCAGCGACTCGGAGGAGAGCGGGGGCTTGATTTGGTCCCAGTTCGTGCAGACGCTGCCGCTGCAGCAGGTCCCGGCTCCCGACCTTCGCCACAACCCCACCAAAACCTTCGTCAAGATTAAGGCCTCACACAACCTCAAGAAGAAGATCCTCCGCTTTCGGTCGGGCTCTTTGAAACTGATGACGACCGTCTGAGGCGCGTCCTCCGTGAAGAGAGTGGGGCTCGCTAGTTCCCCCCCCGTCGGTGGTGTCTGCCTTTTTTGTGTGTAATAATTTCACGGAGTGCTTTCCTTTGGTTAAGAGAAAACCGAGGTGAATTTTTGTCTCATCTTCGTCACGTATGGACACTAGTGCCTTTAATGGAAGGTAAAGAATGTTTTTTTTTTGCTGGTTAGAAGTGAATATTGAGTTTCTAATGGTGGTGACAGTGAGTGAATTTTGTGGTATCAGATTTTTCTTTGAAATGGTCTGAGCATTGGTGAAGGCACAGGTTTTGATGTTCAGGTGTGAAGTGGACGAGACCTTTTGATCTGGAGGTCAGGTGGATGGCATTTGAGGACATGCATTTGCGTCTTTGGTTCTTCAGGGCAGCGTCGCCATGAGGGTTTTCCTGTTGGGGGTATCACATACAGTTGTGTGAAGCAGATACAAGGGGCAGTCATGATTTTCTGTCATTTTTTATATATTCTGCTTTTCTCAGATGTAGCCCCATTCTGTTTTCTTCTCAGAACTGTTTGGTTTACTGGACTCAGAACTTGAAGACCACACCCTACATCCAGAAAGGTGATCTGGGTAGGGAGGCTGGTAATACCTTAAAAGGATTCGTTAAAACCTTTGCCACCCTTGGTGCCTAGGCCCTGGTTACAGTAACCCCTTCTAGGGCCATTTACCCAACATTGATGCCTTTCTCCCCCTCTCTGATTTACAGCAGATCCAACCATTCCTCCTTTGGAAACTTGCCTTTGGTATAAGTTTTCATCTTTGGGTGCAGAGAAATTCACTCCTAATGAAATAACTCTTGGGTGCGACTCCAAGCTCAGAACTGCTCACAGAGCACTATGCCATCTAAATATCAGCCCAAACATATTCGTGCAATCCAGTCCAGATTGGACCACTGACCCTGCCTTGGAAGGGCTTTTTTTAAAAAAAAATTTTTTTGGTAAACAGTATTGTGTAAAATTGCTTTTTTATATCAATATATGCATGTTTTGTGCATGAGTAGTATTTGTTTTGATATTCCTGTTGATGTTAAATGACTGTATGATATAAACAGTATGTGTTTTTATATATCTTTGTGTAAATTTAATATAACACATTATATGCTGTAATAAACGATTTGTTTTCCTGCTGTTAAGTTTGTTATTTGGGTATAAAACCAGATGTTTACACCTATAAATCTTGTGCTGATTATTGTGGGATTTATATTAGGCCTATTCTAGCATTTGAAATATTATTTACAATAATTAAGGCAGATTTTAAGAGTATTCGAATGGATGGTACATAACTGAGGACAAGCAATTCACTTGTTGAGAATGGTTGAGATGCTTCTTTAAAACTGAAGGTACATTTAATATTTTCTAAGGAAAATATTTCTGTGAAAACCTCCTCTCTCCCCCAGCTTCTAAGTATGAAAAATTTTCAACATGGAAAAGTTGAAAGGATAGTATGGTAAACACCTGTGTAACTACCACCTAGATTCAACAATTGTTAACATTTTGCCATGCATGCTTTAACACTCTATATGAATATATTAGGTTAAACTATATTGCTGGTTTTGTGGGTTGAAGACAGATTTTGGTAATCTTTCTTGTCCCTACTACACTACTACATCATTTTAGAGTAAATTTCAGGCATCATGATGTTTCATTTATAAAAACCAGATATTTCCTAAGAACAAGGTGATTCTCCTATATAATCACAACACCATGATCACACCTAAGGAAAATTGACAATAATTCTTAATATCGAATGTTTAATCTCTATTCAATAACTTTCCAGTTTGTTTCAAGATTTTTTAAATAGCAGCTTCACTGCTCCCTCCAACCAGGATTCAGTCAGTTATACTGTGCATTTGGCTATAGATCCCTAGTCTTAGAATTTGTTGTTGTTCAGTTGCTCAGTAGTGCCCGACTCTGCAACTCCATGGACTGCAGAACACCAGGCTTCCCTGTTCTTCACCATCTCCTGGAGTTTCCTCAAACTCATGTCAATTGAGTCAGTGATGCCATCCAACCACCTTGTCCTATGTTGTCCCTTCTCCTGCCTTCAGGCTTTCCCAGTGTCAGGATCTTAATCTTAGAATAACCTCTCCATATTTTTTTATAATGACATTTGGTTGTTAAAGTCAGCACAGTTGTCTTGTAGAAGGGCCCCATTCTGGATTTGGTTGTTTATTTTTATTTATTTATTTTTTTTAACATCTTCTAGTCCCTCTATTTTCTGTAAACAGTGAGGGCTTGATTGGATTCAGGTTTGAACAGTCTTGGAAAGAAAATTTCACTAGTAACCTTGCGTACTTTTATTGCTTCACATCAAGAAACAGAATATCAGGTTACCTACTATTACTGAATTTAAGAGTGATCCCTTGGTCAAGTTAGTGAGCAGAGCTTTCTCCACTGTAAAGGTTTTGTTTTTCCTCTTTGCAGATGGTTAGTATTTGTGAGTGATTCTTTGGTACAGTGTGGATATCCTGTTCTTCATAACTTTCGACTTAATGGCTTGAGTTTACTTTGCTGATCCTTGCCTGAATCAGTTATTGCCTTGGGGATGCAACATGGTGGTTTTCTAAATATCTTTCCTTCTACTTTTATTGGGTGACATTATAAAAAAAGGAACTTTCTTTATTTTTTTCCCTTTCTCTCTTTAAATGATCATGGTGAATTTGTGGATTTTTACTCATTTAATACTTTATAATCACTTCTGTGTATTGTTCTTTTTGATGCTCAACATGTCCCAAATTTGGCCAGTGAGAGGATAAATGTCATTAAAAGGAGACTGTGGAGTCAGCCCAGTCTCATTCATATATTTATTATTGTACTCTATTAAAATGATTTTTCAGATGCTAAATTTCAATGTAACAAAAATCTGGTAACTATCCATTTATTTATTCTGTCTCGGAAATGATCTCTTTTTCTGTATTTCTCTCTTATCTCTAAGAAGGCTTTTAACTTTGGAACTATAGCAAATTATTTCTCTGAGGCTTATAAAGATAAGGCTTTTTTTTTTTTTCAACAAGACTTCTTTTTCTAACAAGACACCGCAGACAATTTTTGAAAATGTAGAGTTGCTAGTCTTTTCATATTTGTATGTTTTTACACATAGTCATTCTTTGACTAGAATTTCTTTGGTTGCCTGTTTAAATCTAAGCCAAGGACAAACAAGCAGATGATCTCACCATCTTTTCTAATTCTGTGTGTGATCCAATCTCTTTGGGGGCAAGTTATAAAATTTATTGTGTAAGGCAACTGTGACCTGAAGTCAGTTCTTGAATCATGTCCAGGTTGTTCTCAATAAGCATTATTTTCAGAAGAGGGACTCTTTCTAAAAACCAGCTTCTGAATAATTACATTTTAGGTGACAGAACACCAAAGAAAGAGAAGTGAGAAAAACAGGATTTTCAAAGAACCTTGGGTTTGTCCACCTCTGTCTGTTGTTTGACTTACCTGTAGCTAATAGTTGTACTACTAGAAAATTAGAAAATTGGATTTTAGAAAACTGGATTTTGTCCATTATTTTCAATGACAAATATACCTGCTTTTGTTATTTCAAACAAAAGAGCTCTTTAAAATATTTTTTCTTTATTTAAATAAATTACAAATTCTCATTTTCAGGAAGAAAAACTGTCAGTTTGTATACAGATGTTTGCACTCTTAATCTTCCTCAAATCCTACCCTTTAATAATGTTGGTGTATATATTTCCATACTGTGTTATGTGTACAAACAAATATATTATCTTTATATTTTTTCTTCAAAACCAAGTCCCAGTCTATATTTATCATTCTGTAACTTCTTTCATTTCATGAATATAATTCTCTGCTTCTAATGGGGTTCCAGGTATTTCCTCACTGAAGAAAAAGGCACCAGATTTTATGGGGCTACTTATTTGCCCTATTTAGAAAACTTCGAATATTTAGCAATAAAAGTGTTACCCGAGTGCTGTACACTTGCAGACCTGCTGCCTTTTTAGTTTTTAGTTTTCTCATGTGTTGCTGTTCAGTGTCTGACTCTTTGCAGCCCCAGGGACTGCAGCACGCCAGGCTTCCCTGTCCTTCACTATCTCCCAGGGTTTACTCATATTCATGTCCATTGAGTTGATGATGCCATCCAACCATCTCATCCTCTGTCACCCCCTTCTCATGTCCTCAATCTTTCCCATCATCAAGATCTTTTCCAATGAGTTGGCTGTTCGCATCAGGTGGCCAAAATACTGGAGCTTCAGCTTCAGCCTCAGTCCTTCCAATGAATATTCAGGGTTGATTTCCTTTAGGATTGACTGGTTTGATCTCCTTGCTGTCCAAGGGACTCTCAAGAGTCTTCTCCAGCACCATAGTTTGAAAACATCAATTCTTTGTCATTCAGCCTCACATCCATACCTGACTATTAGAAGAACTGTAGCTTTGACCATACAGACCTTTGTTGGCAAAGTGATATCTCTGCTTTTTAATACGCTGTCTAGGTTTGTCATAGCTTTTCTTCCAAGGAGCAAGCATCTTTTAATTTCATGGCTGCAGTCACCTTCCTCAGTAATTTTGGAGCCCAAGAAAATAAAGTCTGTTACTGTTTCCATTGTTTTCCCCATTTATTTGCCCTGAAGTGAAGGGACTGGATGCCATGCTCTTTGTTTTTTAAACGTTGTGTTTTAAGCCAGCCTTTTCACTCTTTCACTTTCGATTCATCGAGAGACTGTTTAGTTCCTCTTTTCTTTCTGCCATAAGGGTGGTGTCATCTGCATGTCTGAGGTTATTGACATTTTTCCTGGCAATCTTGATTCTAGCTTGTGCTTCATCCATTCTGGCATTTTGTTCACTGTATTTTATTAATTTTTACTGTGAGGTCACTTCAGTGGGCTATTATTGGGGGAAATCTTGTGAGGCTTGATTAAGGATTTTGCCATACCGAGGCGTTGTGTCTTTTTTCCCCCTAGGTGCCTTAGGGACATATCCATGCTGGACCACTTTTAAGTTCATTTCTCTGTGTTGGGGTTACCTGCCCACAGAGGTAGTACAAGTTCAAATCCTAAACCCCCATGGAAGTAGGCTGGTTACACGTTCTCAGAGCAGACATTTCCCACGGCAGAAGAGCTTCCTTATTTTCAACCTGGGCCAGGAAGTGAAATTTTTTCTTGGACCAACCCTTCACTGAGGGTGTATCCCTTCTGTGCCTGTAGAAATATGAAGAGGTCTCAGTCCCAAATGCTACAAGTCCTTGTCCTCATGTGCCTTGCTTCAGGGACCAGAAATTTCTCCCTCTACTCTCCAAAGGTAGACCGAACGTGGGTGCATTTATAGTGAAATAAATACACGTTTATGAGGATGTTTGTTAATAGTTTACCCATCATTTCTAAGTGTTTTACAGTGAAGTGATTAGGTTATCTAGCCCATCAAAGGGCTGGAAATAAAATCCACAGAGGTATCCATTCATTGCCTTTGCCAATAAGTTGCATCCTCATTTCCTTCTCTCATTTTGGTACAACTGAAGTATGATAAAATGCACATATTTGAACTTTACAGTTTGATCAGTTTTGACATACGTATATAATTATGTAATCACCACAATCAAAACAATGAACACTTCCATCATTCTCAAAAGTGTCCTTGAGATCTTTGTGTCCTGTCTCTCTCTCTCTCTTGCCCTCCACCCCTTTCCCCAGAAAATCACTAATCTGCTTTCTGTCACTATAGAATACTTTGTGTTGTCTAGAATTCTGTATAAATGAAATTAAACAGTGTGTACCCTCTTTTGCCTGAATTTTTCATTCTTCATAATGATTTTTAGGTTTATGTATATTTCTTCGTGTCTCAATAGTTCTTTTCTGCTTTATTGCTGAGTTGTATTCTTCTATACAGATAAATAATGATTTGTTTATCCCATTTACTTGATGGACATTTGGGTTATTTCCAGTTTGGGGATATTATAAATAAATCTGTGAAGAACGTTCATGTACAGGTCTTTGTGTGGACAGATGTCTTTGTTTCCTTTGGGTAAATGAAATGCGTTAGTCTTATGGTAGGTGAATGTTTTAGAAATTGCAAAAATATATTCCAAACAAGTTGTACTATTTTACATTCTTACAAGTGACATAATGAGTTTCAGTTGCTTCATATCCTTACTATCATTTGGCGTGCTCAGTCTGTTTAGTTTTAGCCAATTTAATGGATGTGTAGTGGTATCCTATTGTGGCCTTAATTTGAACTTCCTTGATGACTAAGAATGTTGAACACCTTTTAATGTGTTTATTGGCCATCTGTCTACTTTGATGAAGTATCTGTTCACATAGTTTGTCTATGGGTTGTTGGGCTTCTCATGAATACATTGTGAGAGTTTTTCTTTTTTAAAAATTTAATATAAAAGTCCTCTGATGAGTATTGTATTTTCTCCTAGTCCATGGCTTGCCTTTTCACTTTAATGGTGTCTTATGAGGAACAGACATCTTTAATTTTAATCAAGTCCCACTTTTTATTTTTTCTTTTATGGTTAGTGATTTTGGCATCCCATCTAAGAAGCGTTTGCCTAATCCAAGGTTGTGAAGATCTTCTCCTATGCTTTCTTCTAGAAATATTATGGTTTTAGGTTTACATGCAGATCAAATGACATATTCTGAGTTAATTTTTGGGATATGATGGGAGGTGAGGACAGATGTTCACTTTTCCAAAAGATACTCATTCAGTCAAGTACTATTCATTGAAATGATTTTCACTTCTGACTTGGCACCTTTGTGTGTGTGTGTGTATATATATATATATATGTCTGGATTCTATTTCTGTTTCATTTATCTATATGCCTATTTTTTCACCAGTGTCAACTACCTTGATTTTTGTAGCTTTACAGTAATTAGTGAAATCAGGTAGGGCAAATCCTCCCAACTTTGCTTTCTCATTTTCATTCTTTTTAACTCCTTTGATTATTCTTGATCCTTTTCATTATTATTTAAATTCTATAATCAGCTTATCAATTTCTACAAAACAATAAAACCCTGCCAAAATTTTTATTGGTATCACATGGAGTGTAGTTCACCATGGATGTATTCCCATCTTAAAAATAGCCTTTCCATCCATAAGTTTGCAATATTTATCCACTTATTTAGGTCTTTTAAATTTTCTGAAGCAATGTTTTATAGTTTTTAGCTTAAAGGTCTTAGTCATCTGTTGTTAGATTAATTCTATGCATTCTATGATTTTTGGTGATACTATAAATAGAAGCGTGAAAATTTTATTTTTTAATTGTCTGCTGGTGATATATATATAAAAGAATACAACCGATACTCTATATTGACCATAAGGGCTTCCCAGCTGGCGCAGTGGAAAAAGTATCTGCCTGCCAGTGCAGGAGATGCAAGAGATGCTGGTTCAATCCCTGGGTCGGGAAGATCCCCTGGAGAAGGAAATGGCAACCCACTTCAGTATTCTTGCCTGGAAAATTCCACGAACAGAAGAGCCTGGCAGGCTGCAGTTCATGGGGTTGCAGAATCGGACGTGACTGAGCACAACAGCAACAATAACATTATTGACCTTAAACCCTGCTAAATTCATTTATTAGGTTTAGTAATTGCTTTGTAGAATTCTAATCCTAGACTTTTTGATATTGTTCTAAAGACCTGGAAACCTTGTTCATTTTTCCAATACTTTCTGTTCTTCAGTTTAGATGATTTCTATTGATCTATTTTCATTTTCCCTTGTTACCTATCTATTTTCTGCTATTTGGCCCATCTAGTGAATTCTAAAAAAAAATTGGATATGTATTTTTCAGTTTTAAAGTTTCTGGTTGGATTTTTTTGTTGTTGTTTGCTTTTTTTTCTTTTTTGTACTTTCTGTTTCTTTACTGAGAATTTCTGTCCATTCATTTCAAATGTGTTTTCCTCATGGAGCATAGTTACACTAGTTACTTGAAAGTCTCTGATAATCTCAAACATTTAGCTAATCTTGAGGTTAGCATCTGTTGATTGTTTTCCCCTTGAGAACTGGTCACATTTTCCCATTTCTTTGGTTGTCAAGTAATTTCAGATTGTATCCTGAACATGTCAGAGTAATATTGCATAGGTTCTGAGTCTGTTCATAATCCTCAGGGGAATGTTGTTTTTGCTTTACCAGGCAGTTAATCTGGTTAGGCTCTAACCCTAAATTCTTCTCACCTTTGTGGGCAGTGGTTTAACTCTCAGTTCAATTATATAAACCTTTGCTGTGCTGCTTTGGGTCTGTCCAGTACCTGCACAGTTCAAGGATTAGTCTGACACTCAGGTAGCTGGTTCCTATCTCATTTAAATTATCAGAGCCTTTGCTGACGTTGGTTTGAGTCTGTACCTTGCATACTTGACTCAAATGTTAGATTGAGCCAAGGGTTTCATACACAGAAGTAGAGGATCCCCTTTCTCTAGTTTTTTTCTCCTCTGAGATTTCTCCTATTCACTCCACCCCACAGGGTGATAATTTCCTGGTTCCTCTGGCGAGAAAGACACGTTTTCTATTGGAATTTTAGCTGCCTATTCCACACATTGTTTTGAAACTGGGACCAATTCTTAGGATGAAGCTGCATGAGAAAAGGAAAAAATGGAAAGCACACCCATCCCCCCATCCAGCTGCTTTTGTTTACTTTCACAGTCCTCAGGTAGTTTTTTCTCGCCATATTTTTGTCAGAGTTTTTAGTTGTAATTAGTAGGAGGACTAGCTACCATACTAGAACCAGAATCCACTGACCTATTTATTTTTAACATGGATAGACTTCAAAGATGCAGCAGAATCCGGAAGGAAAGCCAATCATATGCTTCCCCCAAATTCCCCACCCGACTCTGAAAAGCACACAAGGCTTTCTGTGTTTTGGTTTTTAAATCTCATAACATAGTAAAAGTCATTAAAAGCAAGGAAATACTTTACCTGGAAGAAGGTGTATTTAGGATTGGTACGGTCAGTTTTATTTTACTTTTTTCTAGGTGCAAACCTTTAATTTGTAGGATAGAGGGGAGCTATATAATTATTTATTTCTTTGATTCTTTCCTTTGGGGCTGAGTTAAAAATAACTTTCTCTACACATTTGTATATTGCTTCAAAGGTAACATAAAAGTGCCTTTTGTTTCCTTGAGTCATTTTGTTTAGTTTCAGACCTGTCACTTTTAGTTATTTACCTGATCATCATATCTCTGACTATAATATAAATACAGTATATAATTACACTTTTGAAAATGGTTATTTTCTTGTTGGCCTGCAGTGGTTTTTTGGAGCTGTTACAACCTATCTGTTAAACATAAGGAGTAGCAGCATGAAGCCCAGAGCTGATTCAGATAATTATTTTAAGTTGAGGACCGTTGCCCAGGTAAACAACAGCTGCTTTGGAATCATTACAGCTGAAGTGGTCAGTGAATAATTTACCTTTCTTTTTAACTATAATGGATGAATGTTTCAAGGTTACCGAAATATTAAAAAAGTCTTAAATATCACTAGTTCATCTAGCTGTTATGTTTTAAGGGAATGTTATACACAGATACTAGGATGTAGAGGTGCAGCCAGGAGAATTTTGTTGGGAGGGTGTGATTAATGATGGGTAACATCAAAATGATCAGAGTGTGAACTTGGTTTTGGTAAACAACCCTAAAATCTATTTA